AATGTTCAGATCAATAACAATGTTTTATACAAAACTGGGGCATCACAACAGTAAGTAGGTGTTGTAGGGTATATGGGAAGGTAATTGGGTAGCCAATTCCTCATGAGTGACGTTGTCCTCTAGCAAAAACTATCTAGCCACCATCTCCAATCTGCTGTAAAAATAGCGTTAACGACTATAACTGTCTCTCCGAAAGAATCAGTGGATCTCAGCAGTTTCTTCTGAATTAGGAGATGGGTGTGGACAACGTTTCGTGAGATAACAAACAATTAGAAGATAACGGTCGGTACAAATATTCAAACTTCAGAAGACGTCAATGAGTGAAGAAATATGCGCCATTGTGACTGATTTCTAGACATGTCACCAAAAGTACTCAGCCGTTCATTCCTTTCGTCTCAGGGATCCCAGCCAAGCAGTCTACATCTCCTTACACGACTCACACCAAGAGTCAGGGACTTCGACTGATGCCAAGTTTTGGTCTGGACAACCTGAATACTTCCAACCAGATCCAGCTTTCCCCAGTATGGCACATAGAGGTAGGAGGTAACTCAGAACGCGTAACACTTGTCCAGCCCATCTCAGTCGACTAAGGTTCACAACCTCATCAATCAACTTGCCAGTCTTGCCTAGTATCCTTCGACTTACTTCAACATTACTCACACGGTGATTCCACCAAGCCCAAGCAATGTTACGAAGGCACAAATGATCAAAACTCTGTAACCACTTCATGTCTTCTGCTTTCAATGGCCATGTTCCCAAGTGTATAAGAAGACATAACGAACTGGAGCGTAATATTCTCGTCCTTTGATAGATAATGAGATACCTCACCAGATGGTGCGACAGGTGACGCAAGTTGGCGAACGCCACACATATCTTCTGTATGTGTGCTGAGATTTCGTCAACAACTAGCCCCTTGGGCTGTTGCAACTCCCCAAGTAAGTGAAGTGGTCGACACATTCCACCACTTCACTCTCTATCATTAAACTGGGAGTGCTTGCAGTGGACCAGTCCTGGAGCATCATTTTACATTTGACAGGTGTGAAGCACTTGCCAAATATATTTAGATTTCTGCTCAATGCGATCAGAAGACCCTGTATTTTGTCAGCGTCTTCACCTACCAGGATAATAACGTCCGTATGCTCCAATTCAACGTGATAGCCTCTAGGTAGTAGATCAATCTCTGTCAATTAGTGTGTATATAGTGCGGTTAAGTGGGAACGGTGACAGTGGCTATCCCTAGCAAACACCACTAGATATCGTCAGTTCTGAAGACAACTCTCCATAAATTCTGACACGGCTGCATGAGTCCGAGTAGAGAGCTCTTATTAGCATTATATACTTGCTTAAAACTCCCTGTAGAAACAGACACTGCAACAACCAACACCTCACGTTCGACAAAGTCAAATCCCACCTTCAGGTCAGAAAATATAGTAAATGTCGGCCTCCAGTAAGTATGAATATGATCTAAGACCTCTCGGAGGGAGAAAAGATCAATGCACCTTCGTCCAGCTGTCTGGTTTTCTCGAGTTCGCTTTTCTCGGGCTGCACTTAGGCGTCAGATAACTATGGACCCAATATTTTGGATACAATATTAGTCAAACTAATTCCCCTATCGTTGTCACAAGAAGATTTCTCTCCATTCTTAAGGACTGGGATGATCAGCAAAGTATACCAATCTGATGCCATTACATCTGATTCCCGTACACCAAGCAGTACCTCCATCAATCTAATTAGCGATTTCCTACCTCACTCCTCGAAAACGTCAGATGGCAAGCTGTCACATCCTGCTGCTTTGCGTCGTCTCAGGTTAGAAACATCTTTCTCAACTTCAAGTACAGTTGGAGCATCGACATATACGTCCCACTCCGTCAGGCAACTGAAGCGTTTCTGTTTACCGGTTGAACTGTGCTTCAAAGTGTAGTTTTCTGTCCAATGTTCTAACCGCCTGTCCACAGTCGTAATGAGTATCCCATCTTTTTCGGTGATGGTTTCACTAACTACCGTCTTCTTCTTGCCGGTATCCTTAATAAGCCTAAATAATTGCCGGGTGTTACCCAACGCTGGTGCTACCTCCATCTCTCACCACCCGCGATTGTTCGCATACTTTCTGTTCTACAGCTCAATGCCATGCCTACGACGAGTCTACGAAGACGTATCCATTGGATCTCTGGACACTCGTAAAGTGACTTGTGCAGATTCATCACATGAGACAAACGAAGTCAAATGAATAACTACACTCAAATCCAGTGTACGTGCTACAGAAACAGCATACATATATAGCTGGAAATTCCAGAGTTCTACCTAGAGATCGTTTTGTCCGGACTGGACAGGGTCTCAGGTTTCTCTAGGAAAAATGACAGTGTTTTACTTTCGAAACGGTCCATTCATTTTCTTGTTGAAAAAAACCTATTCCCATCGAGATGTGCTCAAGACAGTCAGTCTTCCTGTTGTAGCTTTCCTACTTTCATTCACTAACCGTGTGCAACAAAAGGAGCATCAATCCCCTATCTAAACTGCCCCATCTGTCTGTAACCATCGTTGAGTAGAGATCGCATCAGACGTCTGAATTAAATGCCGGTTAAGAAAATGTTGTTTCTGAGCACAGTTGTACCAAGCGATCGCCACTATCCTTTCGCTTGGCTGAAATTCCAAGAGTGTCACATAGGTGAGTTTCTGTTTCATGAGCCTATTTTGTTGTAAATTGGAATCACGCAGCACATGTAAACGTTTGGAGTTGGAAAGTTTTCAAAGTTGTTTCAGATGGGATGACTCAACACAACTACCTCATTCTACACAACGAATAAGTTGTGATTTTGTTTCGCAATTGGTAAAATTCGTAATAAACTTGTAAGAAGTACAGACTGAAGGCATAAAATCGGTACTTGAAGGACCGCCGAAACGTTAAGGACGCGCATGATATCAACTCATTGCACTACAACATACCAACCACTCACTCTCCCCTTAATCAGCTGGTGATCAGTGCGTAATTAGCAAAATCAAAGTTCAAGATATATTTGTAAGACTGGCAGGAACTTGTACTAACTGCTGGTAGTGGACCGGCAGGAATAATTTAGTTTCATGCATTTGGGAGTTGTCAGTGCTAGTTGTGAGTATGGTGAAGTCTACTTATTATTGTGTATAGAAAGTCAGACCAAAGTGCATCAACCTGGTTTATCTTTATTGTTATCACGATGCTAGTTTGATTGTAAAATTCCATGCGTATAAAGTTTCGGCGTCAGTTCTCCTTAGCACCTGTAAAACCCAACTCCAAACTGAAGATGTCACAAAAACCGCATCTCATCACCCCTAATCTACGTCGTAGCGTTGAAGTCTGTCTGGAACACAGCGTAAGAAATTTTGAGTTTCAGTAGCGCACGACTCTGTTAGTCATTCATTAAGCAATGCCTTTTCATAAGACCAGCTTCCATCACCTGGACATGCGTTGTGAATGCCACGGCAGCGGCTCCCATAATGTTTACAACTTGCCCGCCCTGAGATTGGATGGAAGAAATGTAGTGGCGCTGAGGGTGACTGAGTTTAGTTAGCCTCTGCTTGTGCAGCACGACTTCCTAGGTGGGATCCGTAAGACCATGAAACAATTTCGAATATGATTGAGTAGAAATCGACAGTTTCCTCGTGTATGCTGGCTTTCAATAACAATACACAAGTAGTGAAAGCATCTCATATGTACTTTACGTGACTGCCTCATCTTTTTCTCCCTCCTTGTTTCTTCAAAATGTATGTTGTGTGGAGTACCTCTGGGCAACTCAGCCGTATCTTGTTTGGGCTGAAATAAAGGTCAATCCTACTGCTCACATATTACATAACTAGTCAGGATTTTATCAAGGGATACATATTATTCTATCTCCTTTGCTCAATTCCTTCAATTAGTACACCTAAACTGTAATCAAATTATAATGATAACTACTGCGTTCCAAATTAAATAATTCAGTACAGCCTGTGAATAAATGTAAATCTGTAGCTGCTAAATTGCTTATAACTCCCGTGCATCACTGAGTGAAGTTCTGTTTTGTTCTCGCGTGTCGGACATATCGTTTTTCAAGGAGAGGGATTGACAAATAAACGTGCAAATAACGCTAATTTTTTTCGCTTCAGAAAATAGAATTCGAAATGCTAAAAACATTTTCTTGCGACCCGCAAAAAACCCCACATAAATACTAATAAGAAGTGTACAATTGAAAATGGTACAAATTTCTGTTTGGTAATCGAACAAACGTTGTGAAAATAAAATAGTCAATCGAATAAGCAAAATACTAGAACCACTTTTCGCACAGTATACAAACACGCTAGAGAAATGGGTACTTGAGAGTGGATATGGAGTGATTTATGATTATTATTATTTCAAGTTTCATTTAGGAAAAACAAACAACAATGGTAATTACAGTAAAACTACTAAAATTTAATAGATTATTATTAGTATTCAGGTTTCATCTTTCAACTCAAAATATTACAAACGGCGATATAAGTACAATCGGTAATAGTAGGGAGATAGTGTTCAGTGAACTCGAAGAAACAAAAGATTGATAAAATCAGACTTTCACGTGTCGAACAATGCTAGCTACATGAAACACCGAACAGTGGTAAAAATAGGCCGAACATAATAACAGTTATAACCAAAGTAGCAACAATAACACGAAGGGAAACAAGAGTATTATCCGTCCATACGCAAAAGAATATAAACTTTACATTAAGTTCATCATCAAATGATATACAATAAAGTAACAAACATGGACGGTTGAAGAAACGCAGGCGAAATGCATAGATTCATTTTAGAAGTGAAATTCTCACCAAACTAACGGCAGTGTATGAAAGACAAAAAATTACACTGATGAATGTATAAAACTGGACATATAATAGGGAGATAAAAACATATTTGCGCATCTGTGTGAATATACATACGCGTTCAATCTCGCGAATAAGTCTAGGAGCAAGTAACAATATGATATCTTGGTGATGAATAAGTTGTATTTTGTTAAAAACTATACAAAGTCATCCATTTCGTTGATAATAAAATCCATGGCTGCATATCGAAATTCTTGAGTTTGCCAACATTCTAACAACTTTTTACACTCCATATTAATCACATATTCTATGCGCTCACGATGCTGCATTTTTACCATACACTTGGTTATTTCCATTGCCTGAGAAAATAAACACCCTCCCCAGGAGGGGAGTCAAAATTTTATTCATTTAGAATATTTAGATACAAAAGATAAGTCTTTACTAAACATTTTCATAAAGATTATTGTACGAAAAATCAGACATCAAGAAACACAGGTATTTCTCACGCAACCGTATCTATCTATCTATCTGTCTATCTGTCTATCTATCTATCTATCTATCTATCTATCTATCTATCTATCTATCTATCTATCTATCTATCTATCTATCTATCTATCTATCTATCTATCTATCTATCTATCTATCTATCTATCTATCTATCTATCTATCTATCTATCTATCTATCTATCTATCTATCTATCTATCTATCTATCTATCTATCTATCTATCTATCTATCTATCTATCTATCTATCTATCTATCTATCTATCTATCTATCTATCTATCTATCTATCTATCTATCTATCTATCTATCTATCTATCTATCTATCTATCTATCTATCTATCTATCTATCTATCTATCTATCTATCTATCTATCTATCTATCTATCTATCTATCTATCTATCTATCTATCTATCTATCTATCTATCTATCTATCTATCTATCTATCTATCTATCTATCTATCTATCTATCTATCTATCTATCTATCTATCTATCTATCTATCTATCTATCTATCTATCTATCTATCTATCTATCTATCTATCTATCTATCTATCTATCTATCTATCTATCTATCTATCTATCTATCTATCTATCTATCTATCTATCTATCTATCTATCTATCTATCTATCTATCTATCTATCTATCTATCTATCTATCTATCTATCTATCTATCTATCTATCTATCTATCTATCTATCTATCTATCTATCTATCTATCTATCTATCTATCTATCTATCTATCTATCTATCTATCTATCTATCTATCTATCTATCTATCTATCTATCTATCTATCTATCTATCTATCTATCTATCTATCTATCTATCTATCTATCTATCTATCTATCTATCTATCTATCTATCTATCTATCTATCTATCTATCTATCTATCTATCTATCTATCTATCTATCTATCCGTCACCTATGTGACACTGAAATTTCTATCGGATTAAGTGCTTAAGTGACGGGAAGGTTTTCTTACAAGACACATGGATTGAAATCGCTGAGTTCATTTTATGGACTGCAGGACCAACATTTGTTTGGATAGAATTGAATAAGCTGAGAATTAGTTAAGTGTATTGCAATACCAATGACTTAGAAAAATAAGTTTCTGGTGTTTCCCGACTGCGTCGAAGCCTCTTCTTCAGAGCATAAAACCTGTACAAGTTAACATGTGCCTAAACAGTGAATAGAGGCAATTCAGAAAACATCCTTTATGCATGACAGTAATATGGGAAATAAATGCTATAGTTATCTGCTATCGGTCTGTAAGTTCATAGTAAAGTTTCAAATGTGTGTGCACAAGCGAATAGATGTTAAGATGTGCTGAAAGTAATATGATTAAGAAATTAAGTTTGTTTGTGAGAGTGCATACTCAAGTTATGACTACTGTATGCAAAATGTCATTTCGAACATACTGTTCAAATTGGTTGGATATTTAGGCCTTTCTTTCTGTTGAATGGATTAAGATTCAACATTAACATTCATCCTACAAACGAATAGCCTGTCACAGGCGATCAGGATAAACAGTAGTTAAGAAGAGATCGAAAGGCTTTAAATGGCGTGAATTAAATAAGAACATATACTGCTAACATGATCTATCACCTGGTGACCTGAGATCAAATAGTGAAGAATCATGAATGATGATGACGATACTCACTTCTACCAACATTGAACGATCTAGCAGGATAACACTCTATGCACTATCAATGTGGAAATACATTAGAACATGTTGAGGAGAGAAAACCAAAACATTAAATACTCAATACATTCAAAAAATGATACTTTAAAATACTGTATTACATAAAACCAAGCAGGCTTCAGAAATGGATGCCACTGTTTTGACCAAATATTCATTCTCCGCCAAGTTCCGTAACAGGCACACTAACCAACGCCTGACAAGGGCTGCAATCCTTGATCTGAAAGCGCCATGTGACTTCGGTGAGAGGTTTTATATAGCAGCATCCTTTAGCGAAATGGATGGTATCCGTCAAGAATATCCATTATTATTCCACTTCACAAAAGATGTACTTATGGAGGTATCCCTCCCGTCCATCTGACTTCGCAGAGATTGATCTTATCAAGGCAAAGTCTTTGGCATATCGACAGTACATAGATGACATAGTCCTGTTAGGTGAAGACACTGAAAACATTCAGTGTCTTCAGGATACGCTGAGTGGCAATTCGAGAAGGTTTAGGATGCACTTCTCACCGTCTAAATTCAAATTTTTGCACACAACTAGCCTTCTCTGGTGCCTTTTTTAACAAACAATACAGAGTGGAATTGCTGAGCGCGTTGACCACTTTCCCTTCCCTACGAAGTCAGATCAACCCTGGTAGGTTAGTGATCGATGAAATCTCTGCACGCATCCATTGGCTTTCGTCAACTTATGCCACCTATTGGTGCCATCGTAATATCCGATTGCCTACTATGTCAAGTGAAAAGCACTGCGGTCCGTTATGTTCTACTATTTGGTTGTGAAACATGCCCATTGAAGGTGGTAGAAATGAGAAGGGTTGAGATATTTCAGCACAGTTGCCTCTATAGTATACACCGTGGTATCGTCAGTATCATTAACATAGGACCAGGCGCTGAAACATGACGGTCCAATCTGACACACCTTATATCAGCACATCGAGTAACAAGGCAATGAGATAAGAGATGAATTGTAATGTTCATCTCGATGACTAGCAGTGGAATCCAGGAAGCGTGTTTCGTCCTACTTGGGACTCACCAGCTGTGCGCTTTATATCAAATAAACAAATCTAATATGGAACTACATTCTACCACAGTGCCCAAGTTTTTCACTTATATTGAGGATAAGTTCTATCAATAGCTTTCAATTTTGTCACAGAAAGCAAAACTTTCAGATGTAATCACAATAGCAGGTGACTTTTACGCCCAAGTAGGGAAGCTAAACCAATTAGAAAGGCATCTCGAAGGTATCAACAGAATCTCATACCGACAAACCAACAACAGTGACCGTCTACGGTAATTTTGTTCCGACAATCAATTGCTTTTCGCCAGAACTGACTTCAAGAATAAGGAGATATCCTGTCTCACATGACACCCACCGAAACCAAACCAACAACGGACACAGATAGATCTTATTTCCATAAGACATCGTTGGAGAGGGTCGGCGGAAGATTGCCGCAATTTTTCTGAAGTACCTGTCTGAACTCAGACAGTAGGAAGCAAATGGCAGTTAAGCATGTGTGCTCGACTGGAAGATGAGGACGTCAATCGCGTAATGAAGGGGGAGGGGAATTCTCATCCTCATGAATCCGCGTGATATTCAGGTTTTTGAAATACCAAACATGGAGCCGTAAGAGATCATGGTGAGTTGTCATTTTAATTGGTGACAACTAGTGGTGTCTGTCAAAGACGCCACTGTCACAGTCCCTCTTTAACTTTATTATAGACCCACTAATGGACCCAAAGTACGTCTGACTTCACAAGGATTGAACTTCTCTCTGGAGAGCATCGGATTGACTTGGAGTACACTGAAAACAAAGTCATGTTAAGCAGAGACGCCGGAAAACGTCGAGGGTCATCTGAACGCCTTGAACAGAAATCTAATCATGCATCACATGCGTTTTGTAGCTGTTGCCCCAGGACTGGTCTGCAGATACTCCCAACTTAAGGATGAGTGAAACCGTAGAATACGTTGACTACTTCATCTACTCTGGAATTCGCATCAGCTAAAGTGGATTGCTTGCTGAGAGGATTTCAGTTCGGATACAAAAGGTCTATTGGGCATTCGCTAACCTGCATTATTTCTAGCGCCAACTGGCGAGATATCCGACAACATATCAAGTATACTGCGTTGCAATTCGTTATGTCCTATTATGCAAATGTGATACATGAAAGTTGAAGATGGAAGACACGAAGAAAACACAGGTGTCTCGCAGAATTACCGGTGTATGCTGGAATCATCATGTGAGCAATGTCGGGGTTACGTAAATCCGTTGACAACGTTCTGAACCTTCGGCGACTAACGTAGCTTGAACATGTGTTTAGCATATCAATCTAACATCTACTTCGATATATAAGGTTAGGACTGAATTGAAGAAGGCTAACGGTGGCCAGACAAAAACAAAGCACTAGATAATCGAGTCCCTGACTGTTACTCTGAGCCTTGTAGATGAGCGTAGACTGCTTGGTTGAGGTCCTGGAGACGATAGACATTAATAGTTGATGAACACTGGTGATATGACTATAAATCGGCTACAACTACGCAGATGCAGTAACTCCTCGATGTCTTCTAATGTTTGAATATTTACAGTAACCTTGATTCTCAAATTTCTTCTCTTTCCAATATACCTTTGTCTGCTTAAAATAGCACTTTTCATCATCATCAATATTAACATAGGATCAGGCATTACTGCGTAACGGTTTGAGTTGCCACACCTCATATCACCAAATCAAGTAAAAAGACAGTGAGGTGCAAGATGAAGAAAAGAAAACTCAGTCAAAAGTATGAAAAGAGAGGAAGGAAGAATGAAAAAATGGTGAGATTTGGTAAAGCGTCGTTAAGATGAGGATAATGTGTGTATACATCTGCGCCAACTAATATCGCTTCCCAGCCATATCATCTAGAGTCTCCAACCACTGGTTCCCCTTCTCCCACGGACCCCAACCACCCAGTCTGCATCGCCCCCACATGGCTCAAACCAACAGTCAAATACTTCATTCGTTGATGTCATGTTTCAGTCTAGCCGCAACGAGCCTTTTTCCAGTCTGAACATACTTCAGTCAACATTGTGTGACGAGGCAATCAGCGACTAGGGATACGTAACACATCCCCCAGCTAGACATCTCAGTCGATGAAGGTTCACAACCTCGTCAACTGACTTA